GATGATGGGCACAAGTATAGCAGGAATTGTGGGGCTGGCACAGGATCGGGCAGTGGTTCGTTCTGCTGTGCATGGGGTCGCTATGGGTCGGAAACGACTCGACGGCACTTAACAACAACAACAACAACATGACCTCTTCTTAACTGATAACATCTTCAGAGACTTTATTTCCAAACAACGTCACAGTCACAGATATGGGAGTTAGGACTTCAACATCTTTTTGAGGAACACAATCCAAAATAGATAAGCTCAGATTTTAAAATGTTGATACATAGCAGGGTTTCTCAACCTCAGCACTATTGACATTTTGGACCATTGAATTCTTTGTTGTTGCTGGGGTGGTTTTGTACATTCTAGAGTGTTTAGTAATATTCCCAGGATAATATTCCCACTAGATGCCAGTAGAAGATTCAAACCTCTCTCCCCCCAAGTTGTGACAACCAAAAATAGTTCCCAAACATTGCCAAATGTCTCATGTAGTGCAAAATCACCCTTTCTTGGGAACTACTGGTATAAAATGGCATTACCTCATACCATTATCTTTTAAAAGAATGTTGTTCTTTGGTTAACATATTAGATCTTTAAACTAACTGTGCACAAGGCACAAAGGATGCTTTAAATGTTAGTGTTGCCCTTATTGTACTCATAGAATTAACACATTTGCTGTGATGTTAGTGTAAGTCCAGACAGGATTCTCTGGAGCTTAAAGACCATGCCTGTCTGGTTCCTCACAGTATCCCTCGGGCACAGCAGAGCATAATAATGATTGCAGTCATAGCAATGTATTGTTAAGTACTTTATATACATTATGTCATTCACATAGTAAGTGCTCAATAAATATTTGTTGAATGAACAAATCTTGGTAGAACTGAATACATGAATGCAAATCCTAGAAGGAATAAAATAATATCTGTTAAACTCATCTGTCAGTTTCTCATACTGTGGTAGCTTGCATGCAACCATGAGGCTGGAGGCTATGCCACTGGTATTTCAGATAACAGCAGGGCCACCCATAGTGGACAGGTTTCAGTGGAGCGTACAGACTAAGGCAGACTTGAAAGAAGGAAGGGGCCATCCACTTCTCAAAGAATTGGCCTAAAAACTTTATGAACAGTGATGAAACACTGTCTGATATAATACTGGAAAACTTTATTGTGAGGCTGTTGCAGGATTGGGCAGTGTTTTGTTCTGTTGTACATAGGGTCTCTATGAATCAGAGCCAACTCAATGGCATGTAACAACAACAACAAAGAGAAAAGTAGTTCAATCCTTGGTTCTCTTTTTTTGGTTTGGGGAAACAAAAACTTCTTATATAATCACCGATACAATGATAGATATAATTAGGACCTATATTGAAGGATGTGCTAATGGTTAATGTGCTCAACTGGTAACCAAAAGGTTGGAGGTTGGAGTCTTCCTAGAGACCCCTCAGAAGAAAGGCCTGGCAGTCTATTTCTGAAAAATCAGCCACTGAAAACCCTGTGGAGTACAGTTCTACACACGTGAGGTAACCAGGAGCTGGAATCAGTTGGATAGCAACTGGTGGTTTTACTGCAGGATGTTGCCTATCTGCTATCCAATGTTTTTTGTTCTTCTGTTGTGAGGATACTGTGCTGAACTAGATAGCCATGGTCCCTGCCCTGACTTCTGGAGTTACGCTGGTGCCATGGCAAAATGCTTACCTCTGTAGGGCAGTAGTGCACTAGGGGCAACATTAATATTTGAAGGATCATTTATCTCCTCCAATAGGTTCTTCTTTCATTCTAAGCTACCTACTGGAAATTGTTTTTTAACAGTAATTCATTTTTCTCTCTTTAGGACCACTGAAGCCAGAAATAACTGTAACCTACATTGCTGTTTCAATAATATTCTTTAACAGTGGACTGTCATTAAAAACAGAGGTACTGTAAACCTGTGGGTGGGGTACATGAAAAGGGGAAGAAAAATGTAATTCATACTTTTTTGAAATTTCAGTGTTCTTTTGTAAAGCTGTTTGTAGCTATAGCCTGAAGCATATAATATAATAGAAGATAACTTGAACTTTAGCAAAGGACTTTTGTATTTTGTTGCTACATATTTGTGTTTGTATTTTGTTCCTACATATTCTAGAAAATTCATAGTTGAGCATTGTGGACCCTGAGGAAGTGATTACTGCAGTGGGTATGTTTTTTAATACAGCAGCTGAACTAAAGCATCTACTTTGAGTCTTCCTTAAATTATGGTGGTAACTATGGTGGCAACTGCTGTGTTTGAGCACATTTGAGCTGTTGAGGTTTAGTTAGGTTTCTATAACTTTTGTGAATCACCATTTGTTCTCAGGACCCATGCTGCTCAAGTGATGCTTGTTATGTTTTGACTTTTAACTAATTAAAAAAAATAATATTCTCTGCTAGCATATCTATTAATTATTATTTTTTTTTTTTTAAAATTTATTTATTTATTTATTTATTAGGATTTGGGTGAAGATTTACAGAGTAAATTCACTTTTCATACAGCAGTTCACTTACACTTTGTCTCATGTCATTGACCAAAATTTACAA